GCTAACTAGAGCACACTGTCTGCAATGTGTGGCAGTGGACATACTTCAGATGAGTGTAAAAAGCGTGCCATGGCCAGCAGAGTGATGTATGTAGGTGACATACTTGGCAAAGGCGGTGGGTAGGAGTACACACAGGCCCCCCGGGCCCAGCACAGGGGGAATGGGCTGCAGCCGCTGCTCTCCATGCGCTGACCCCCACCAGCCTCTCTCTCCCAGGCCCAGCGGCTCTCCGGCTCCCCCTCACATGCATGGGGAGCGGATGGCCGCCCCGGCCCACCACGACCCCCTATGACCGCTGCACTGCCTGCAGACCCTCCGGGGCCTGGGCAGAGGACACAGGAGCTGAGAACTGGTCACAATTCTGAACAGGAACAGAGCAAGTGTCCAAACAGCCAGACAGAAAGCGCAGAATGGAGGAATCAATACTGCTGGAGCAACACAAACCAAGTTACCCGTCAGCTATACCTGTATATACACACAATGCTGCGATAAATCCACCGCAAAGGCAGCTGAAGGAACGATAGAGGAATCCAAGAAAAGCTTTGAAAACTAATCCGGAGAATAGGTGCAAACTGCTCTGGAATAAAAACACAGAAATCTCCAACAACAGACTGGTGGCCAGCTCCAGGAGAACACTTCCTCTTGGCTTTCTGTCAGAGGTAATATCCAGAACGAGACAGAGAGCAACGCTGAAACATCTGTGTGCGTGCAAGATCGTCACGAGCAGCCGGCGTGTGGCTGGAGACCGTGTGAGGATTTGTGTGCAACTTGGAGGGAGAAAAAGATGAGGGACAGAACGTGTGTGAAAAAGGGAGGGGTGGAGGGAGAGAGAGGGAGAGAGAGGGAGAGGGAGAGAGAGAGAGAGAGAGAGAGAGAGAGAGAGAGAGAGAAACAAAATCAGGGCAGCTGAAAAAAGGAGGAGGAGCGTCTTTATCTATATGCTAATTCCATTCAGCGAGTCTTTCTGCTATTGGCTCACAATACTCATGTTGACAAAACGTACATGATGAAGTCCCAAGTGGCTGCAGAACAGGTTTGACCAGTATTAACCCACCACTGCCTCTCAGTAACACCACAAACAGCGCTCTCACTCTCAGCCTCTAGTAGTCAGGCAGCAACCCCTCCTGTCAATATATGGACCATGCTACCAAATTTGTTCAAACTGTGGTCTTACAGTATTAAAAAAAAAACCAATGAAATATTCAGACCTGACATTTAAAAGGATTATATTATGATCTATTTAAACCCAAGGCATCAACTGAGATAATAATAAGCTATACATATACAAAATCATCATTTATAGGGTACTTTCTATTGGGAGGTTGCTGTCCCAAACCCTAAAATGTGTGAAAATAATACTTAATTTCTTTTTTTGTATTTTTGCATATTTTTTTGTGTTGTGATATACACCGATCAGGCATGACATTATGACCAACATCTTGTTTCTACACTCATTGAACATTTTATCAGCTCCAAAAAACTCCAGCAGCACTGCTGTGTCTGATCCATTCGTACCAGCACAACACACACTAACACACCACCACCATGTCAGTGTTACTGCAGTGCTGAGAATGCTCCACCACCCTAAATAGTACCTGCTCTGTGAGGGTCCATGGGGGTCCTGATCACTGAAGAACAGGGCAAAAGGGGGCTAACAAAGTATGCAGAGAAACAGATGGACTACAGTCTGTAATTACAGAATTACAAAGTGCACCTATATAGTAAGTGGAGCTGATAAAATGGACAATGAGCGTAGAAACAAGGAGGTGGTCATAATGTTATACCTGATCGGTCTAATTTATAACACTAACGTATTGCATTATTGCTCACCCTTATTTGATGCCACTATACCAACTGTAATTTTCTGTTTCTCATATTTCATTACATTTTTTATGATTTCGTTAAGAGGATGCCTTGTAAGATATATTTTACGCATTCACAACAACAGCAACAACAACAACAGCAACAGCAACAACAACAACAACAACAACAACAACAACAAACTTTTGTTCTACAAGCATAATGCTTGCTACAGTAGGAATGTGCTCAAAAGGAATATATGTTTTACTGTCAGTTGTTGAATACTACATGATTTGTAGCAAAGGCCCTCTTTACACTCAGTACTCATATCCATCTCAAGTAATCTGATCATGAGTGGACAGTGAGACATATAGCCGTTTACATTTGGCATTTACATGTGTTTCAAAAGCGTCTCCAGTGATTGGATTTCGTGACTGGAGTAAAAGTACCACCCAAATTTACTATCTCTCTCACTGCATATGTTGTCAGACAAAAATGTACTGTGAGTGCATGTTTGTGTAAATGAAAGAGCTGCTACAAATGTTTAGAACACATGAACTACTAACACGACTTGTAAACAAACAACAGAAGAGACAAAAAATGAAGCTACAAAGCTGCTTTTGCCTCCACTGTGATGATGCAGTTGATTAAGGTGGTCCTTTGCTGTTGCCAAAAACGAGGCAACAAAAAAAGAGCATACCATCTAGCAAAGCAGCATCACAGAACATGCAGAACATTTCCAGTTTTGGCCAAATAAATCCACTCATACAACACCAACATGATGACAAATCAACCACTCGAATATCAAAGGAAATTCATTACAATGTTAAATGTAAGGATCATATTCAGAGATCTGAAAACTAAACCCCCTATTTTACACACCAAAGCATGTATATGGGAGATAGAATGAAAGAGTTGATCCATCATTGAAAACAGATACAATAAGGACTGCACTGAAAGACACCAAAGATAAGAACAGCAAATCAGAATAAAGTTCTTCGACAGATTTTACAGGATCAGTTATGGGTCCTTTGGAGAAACAACAAGGTGAAAAAGCTATGTATACCTTTGCCCAGTGTTAATAGTGATAAGGGTAGACTGTTAACATTTAAAAAGATCACAGAACAAGACACAATATTTAAAAACTGTCAAATGAGAAAGAACAGTTGTCTAATTAAAATGCAACTTTTGTATATTTTATAATTCTGAAATCTGCAGAAGCTCAAGCTGGCGTTTACCATGCCACACTGGACAGACTGTACAACACAGAGGAGTCTTAGGACAGCGGGAAGGAACTGACTACAATGGACTCTAACTGAACGGAAAGGAAAGGAGGACGAACCAATATAAAAATAAAATAAATACAGCCTGCTTCCTACAGTGCTCATATCAGTGAGAAGCTTGTTAAACCTGTTCAATAACGTCCAGAAGGGGTAGAAATCTCACTGTTTGGTTTGATTTTGAATCAGGGTGAGTTTCAAGATGCAATTTTAAATCATGCATCTTGGTGTTTGATTTCTATAGCCTATTTATAATATAATTAGGATTAAGGGTAAAATGGCAAAGGCCGATATTTTGTACTTTGGACAACGTATTTCGAGAGTATAAGCTCTCTACCAGTAATTTCCTTGTGCTGCTCTACTTATGGGGAGGAACACTTCTTTATTCTGGTACTGTTAAAATAAAAAAAATAAATACTTAAAAAAAAAACCTTGTGAACGCCTATGTAAAAGCCTGATTACGATGCTTTGTGTATTGATGTGAAATCATTCACGAGAACAATGTGATGCATCTAAGTATGCAAGTATGTTTAGACTATGCAGGTTTGGCTAGATTAAAACGAACGCTAGTGCAGTGGCCCTGTTGGTGTGGTTCATAAAACAAGTTAGAGCACTGCCATTCGAACCCTGCTGCAAACCAAATAAGTGCAAAGAGACCCCCTAAAGAAGGCCGGTTTATGTCTGCTTCCAAACAAACTGGTGTGGTTTGTTTGAAATATGAATGCAAAAATGGACCAAATATGTCTACACCACATGTGTCAGGCTGCAGTCCTCACAGCCAAAACACTGCAAACTTCAGCACACTGCCTCATTAAACACACCTCTTCAGCTAATTAGCAAGGCCTTCAGGAAGTGAATTTAGAGCCTTTGATTAGGGGAAAAAGCTAATCCCTGCAGCACCCTGAAGGTCCCCAGTTTGACACAGAATGAACCATCGTCTCCTCTTTGCAGACCCGCTCTAGAAGGTGGAAAAAGATAAATTTCTGAAGCTGTTTGAGATATGCATGCATTTTACCATCTCCGTCAGAGCTCAGATCCGGTCATTAAAGAATGGATAAATTAAGCTTTTGACTGTGGCTGAGGCATGTTCAAAGCAGTTATAAAAACATTCAAAACACTCAATATATAGACATATATGGCCACTTACATCAATTATGTGTTATTATGGCAAGTTTATGTAAAAGCAGTAAGCCATTCGTGGGCGTTTGTATTCACATGCTGGGAAAACTGCAGTAATGCACAGCTTCTCATGGCTTACTGCTTTACAATATCAAAAGACAGATAAAACAACACATAAATAAAGCCCATAAGCTCATTTAGACCAGAGTACACTGTGGTTAAGAATGCTAAATGTCATAAAATCCACTCAATCAGTTGTTACTCTTTTAACAAATTTGTTCACACCTTTTATCTCAATGTCAAATCTGTCAGTGTGAACGCTAAAAGAAACAGAACTAAAAACGCAACAATGTATAATTTTCTGCTTTGTTTCAGACCAAAGGAACTGAATTATAAATAAAAATGCACCCTAAAAATCGATTACTTTTCCCACTTATAAAGCCCAACTGTGCTTATGTTTGCTTCTTTTTCTGTCTTGAAGGCTATCCTATAATACACAAGAGAGCAGATAGAACACTTCCTGTAATGTTAGCCTCCCAATGGAACTTCACTGGCTCAAATATCAGCCCATGCACAATAATAATGGCTTTAAGGGCACGCTATAGGCTCAGAGAGATAAGCCCCTCTGTCCAAAAAGCCTTCAAACCCTCACTCACCTCCTCTTGGTTGTGGACAGAGTGTCTGACCAAAATTTAAAACCATTAATGTAAGCCAGATTCCATCCCTGCTACGAGAATACACATATGACAAAAAGCAATCACTTTCAAACATTACAGCAAACACCATCATAGATTTACTGACCTGCGTAGTAGGAGATCCTTGTAATATCTGAAACAAAACAGAGAGAGAGAGAATATACAGTCACACAACAGTCTTTACATCATCGAGAGCTAAACAGCACCCATTTAAGGCAGTGTGTGCGAGAGTGTGTTGGAAACAGTAACAGAACACACTCTGTAAGTGTCTGAGAAGAGAGAGCCCTCTAGCTGACACATTATCACTACAGGGACAAAAAGGTTCACATTAGAGATGTTAATAATTAATCAATTCACTGCTGACAAATAAAAGTTATTCAATGCTAATAAATTTTAAAGAGGACATTTTATTTAATGCGATTTAATTTAATTGTGAATTGGCAGGTTTATCATGTTTATCAATCTTTTGAACTGTATGCAGTAGGGTGTGTCTGGGAGATGGACCTTAAAAATGAAGAGTTCAGCTAAAAAGAATGCTGTGAGGGAGTATTTTTGGAAACGGATAAATTGATCTGATAGAAATTTCTAGATGCTGTATTAAAGCTCAGCAGTTGTACAACCTGCAATGAAGAACTAAAGCAACAGCAAACATCCCCAAGCGATAACCAAACAAAAAGCAACCAACTGTTTCAAGTAAGGTGCATAGTTGGGAGAGGAAACAGAAGGTATGCAAAGTGATGCAGAAGAGCATACTGCCATATTACTGCCATGCTTTTTCTTTCAGTAAATTCTAAAGCCTTGCTGCCATAAAATGCAGTGATTTGTTTGATATGCTGTTGAGCTGCGTCCATAATTTCAGGCTGGCTAATTAATATCTGACTAATGACCGTTGGTTATATCAAAATAATGTCAAAACTTAAAATCAGTAATTCACATGCCTTTTTGGTAAAATGATTATTCCGCGTTAGGGGTCGGCAATGCAGCAAAAATACAACATCATGATATTTTACGATATTTTCAAGATATGTGATGCACTTGTATGTCCAAAAGTATACACACACCGCTAGTGTAAAGAGGATATTGACCAACTGTATGTGTCATTACAAAGAGAATGAGAAATTTCTGTATGTCTGTAGCCAGGACCCAAAACAAGAGATTATTATTATCACCTTAAGTTGCAACACAAAACCTTGACAAGCTTTCCTTCAGAGAGCTGACATAAAAATAACCACACAGATTTCAAAAAACAATAATATATATATAGATTCTAAAACTACTCTAGGACAACATAGTGCAAATGGAGGAGAAGCATGCTGACTAATCTCAAATGTTCCTGATAAAAACTCAAAGTGTTTTGGAAGGTCACTGGCATCATACAGCATGATAACAGTGCATGAATTCAACCATCACCACAGAGCTTATGATGGATGTAAGCAAGACTAAGCAGAGCGAAATCTTTAGAGACAACATCCATGTTATTAGACATTACTTGGCCCTGACAGAGCGAAGGCAAGAGGAAAGCTGAAAAGGATGAGAGCATCCATAAGGCCATCCCTGAATCACAAATTAAATTAGAGGGTCAGGAAGAGGGCAAGCAGAGAACAAAATAGAATAAGTCATCTTCTGTGGCTGAAGAAGTCACGCTAACTTGTTCACTGTGTTTGTAAAGGCCGGGATTCTCTCTCTCTCTTCATATGGAACGCAGCACATTTCTGCTATTCAAAGCCCACTGCAGCTCTCAGTGTGCAAAATCAACATGTCAACAATGAACACACTTATGTGGTAAAACATCGTAATTGTGCAAATAGCTGTAATAAACAAAGGGATCCAGGAGGAAAGATGGACATTTCAGATTGGAGACTCATTGCAGAATTCTTGCTTGTTTCTTTTGTACTATCTATGGAGTACTGACATTAAAAAAGGACTGACATTCATAAATGATGTGTTAAACACACTTTTATTACTATTTTAACACATTTTGTGTCCAACAACAAGAACACAACATGTCCGACACAGACTTTTTAATCTGGAAATCTGTCACTGCTTGTGCCGACACTAACGCAAAATGTGTCCTGGATACAAAGACGTGTTAAAGGATGACAGACTGTGTGCGGTTTTAAAACCTCTGCTTTGAGACTGTACAAATCAAGTAAATTAAAGAAGTGGTTTAAGGGGGCAAGAGAAAAAAGACAAAAATGTAACTTTTAAAATATCTGATTTGTAGAGATGTGTGATGATATTGGAATCATATCGATACTGCCAGATGTTGCTTAAAAAAATTCTAGATTTTATGAATATTTATGCATCCGCAACGACAGAAATGTACATGAAAAATCCCAGATATCTGCATCAACCCACGATTCCCATATCAGTGCATCCTTATTGATTTGTGGTACTAAATAAACGCTTACATAATATAACTTTTTGCTTCATATTTGATCTCTACCTCTTAATACTTCATCTAAAGACAATATAGGGCTGTATACTGACTGTATCAAAACCATGATGCATCTTCAACAATTACATGTTGAACAACAGATTAATTTCCAGCTATTGTGAACTATAACTTCAAGTGTGCAATATATAAAAAAACAGATTAGCATGTGGTGCTGTACTGACATTGTGGTGTTTGTCTTGCTGTTCTGCTCTTACACTTCCACGTCTCCCTGCACACTCATCTTTCCACAGTGGTCCTTTTTCCCTTCAGTTCAACCTCCTCTCTCTCCACTAGGACTCTGCCCTTCCCTTCTTCTCAGTTTTAGCTTCCTCTTTCACCATTTCATCAGCATTTTCTTCTCAATCTACTTCTTTTCCTCTTGAGAAGAATCTTGAGTATGTCTCCTTTTCACTTCACTCGATTTGAGCCTCCAATTCCACAAGAAAACAGTTAGGGTTCGTGCTAATCAAATACTGTTAGTAACACAATGCTTTAACTTATGACTACGTGTCCAATCAACTTTTTTTTTTAAGTACACTTAGCTTGACTAACTGCAGGCCCATGAGCCAATCAGAAGAACAGCAATTTAATCCAGGACAGACACTCGCTGCTCTTAAAATCAGCTCTGCTTCAAGAGGACACCTAAATCAACATATCCGTTATTAAAGCACACCTATATAAGTGTATTTAAAATTGATTTATATTATTTATATTGCAGTCACTGTGGGTCGCAACTGGGGTGTCAAGCCTAATTTAAATGGTGGCAGCTACTACCCTGTGCCACACATGTAGCCATGGCCTTATCTGGCAATTTAATGAATAATTTCCTTTATAATCTCAATAGGAGCTTCAGTGGGTGCTGTGGTAGCACTGCATTCATGACTACACTGATCAGGTATAACATTATGACCACTTCCTTGTTTCTACTCTCATTGTCCATTTTATCAGCTCCACTTACTATATAGGTGCACTTTGTAGTTCTACAATTACAGACTGTAGTCCATCTGTTTCTCTGCATATTTTGTTAGCCCCCTTTTACCCTGTTCTTCAGTGGTCAGGACCCCATGGACCCTCACAGAGCAGGTTCTATTTGGGTGGTGGAGCATTCTCAGCACTGTAGTAACACTGACGTGGTGGTGGAGTGTTAGTGTGTGGTGTGTTAGTGTGTGTTGTGCTGGTCTGAGTGGATCAGACATAGCAGTGCTGCTGAAGTTTTTAAACACCTCAGTGTCACTGCTGGACTGAATAGTCCACCAAGCAAAATTATCCAGCCAACAGCGTCCTGTGGGCAGCGTCCTGTGACCACTGATGAAGGACTAGAGGATGACCAACACAAACTGTGCAGCAACAGATGAGCTATCGTCTCTGACTTTACATGTACAAGGTGGACTGACAAGGTAGGAGTGTCTAATAGAGCGGACAGTGAGTGGACACAGTGTTTAAAAACTCCAACTGATCCACCACCCAAATAGTACCTGCTCTGTGAGGAGCCATGGGGATCCTGATCACTTAAGAACAGGGTGAAAGGGGGCTAACAAAGTAGGCAGAGAAACAGATGGACTAAAGTCTGTAATTACAGAACTACAAAGTGCACCTATATAGTAAATGTAGCTGATAAAATGGACAATGAGCGTAGAAACAAGGAGGTGGTCATAATGGTATGCCTGATCAGTGTATACAGACAAGCCTTTAGAATACCATATATTATTATTATTATTATTATTATTATTATTATTATTATTATCATCATTATTATTATTATTATTATGTTAATATTATATACTATAGCAAAACAAGAGAGAGACATACACAGACAGAAACATACAGAAACATACAGAATACAAGTAGAGTCAGAGAGACAGAGAAAGACAGAAACATACAGAATACAAGTAGAGTCAGAGAGACAGAGAAAGACAGAAACACAGAGTTTTCTTTCCTGCAACTATAAGCCAGTCAGTTCGATTGACACGTGTGATTACCTGAGGGAGTGCATAACAGAAGGGCTGAGCCTGAGGGCTCCAAACAGCTGCATACACTCACACAGATGAAATATGACTGGGTGCTCCCACGCCTGAATCACAAAACACTTAAAGAAATGATGGGGTTCTTGATTCCAGGTGCCACTAATCCTGCAATAATGTCTAAAGCATTACTGAACTGGATCTGGCATCAGAGAACTCTAAATCTCATCAGTAGTATAATTAAACCATAATTGTATTCAAGTACACATCCCAGACAGGCAAGTTACAGCAGGACTTATCAAAGCTAGCCTGTGTGTTTACACTGTATTTTAAAACAATGTGAGGCTAGCCATGTTTGGCATCTGAAACTAGACAGCCTGCACTAGACAGCAAGACAAAAATAATCCTTTTAGAACAAGATCTGTGGGATTTTCACAATTACCTCACAGCAGGTTGTGACTGGATGTTTTGCATGTCAGTCAAACAGCCTTTTCCTGACAAGGTAGCCAGCTCTTGGCCACATTATGCAGCAAAAAGCACCCTCCCTGCTGATATAAAAAAACCTGGCTTGCAAGATTAGAAATTACTTAACAAGTCGCCACACTTTGAAGCAAGTGTGTGAAGATTTATGTACAATGCGAAATGGCGGAGTATAAGCTTACATTACTTGTTAGTTATATTAGCCTTGTAGCTGAGGTGCAAAACTATTGATGCAAATCATAGACACTACTGGTG